GGAGCACGGGGCGAGGTACAGATGCACCCCACGCATGGCTCTGACCCAGAGTCCAGCTGGGCCCGCCCCGCCCGGTGCACAAGCTGCACTCACACATTCCCAGCCAGGGACAGGGGTCGGGACACGGCACAATGTGGGCCGAGGAGCCGTGTGTAAAGCTGGGTCTCACACCTGTCCCACACCGCTGGCTCTGAGCCCGTGGAGGTGGCACCGCCCCTGAGCCGGGGGCCTCCGAGCGCCAGGTGGCCTCCTTCCTGCAGTGCCCAGGACGCTTTTTCCCCTCGTGGCGCACACCTGTTACCCACACACTCCCACAGCCACCGCGACGCCCGCAAAGCCAGCGCTGGACAGCGCTCACCCTTCAACCCCCTTCCGGCCCGCTGCGAGAGCAAGGAACGCGGTTCCAGGATAACCAGGAAACGCCTTAAATTGCGCAGGTGTCACAGCGCCCCAGACGTGGCTTCGGGGCCGCCCCTCCTCGCCGAGGAAGGCAGATTCCATCCCTATTCTCATTTACACTTGCAAGTCAAGGCGGCGTAAAGAACACAGGCCCCCCGGATGACAGCACGGCTGGCACGAAGCCACTGTCCAGAGCCCACGTTGCTCCCTCCTGAAAGGAAATGGTTCAGGCACTGTGTTGGCCCCGGATGTCTGAGCTCCGCCCCAGGCTGGCGGTGTTGGTCTCAGCCGCGCCCCGCAGCCCCGTGTCACTGCGCAGTGCCGTGTGAGCAGCACCAAGTGTGCCGCCCAGGCCACGGAAATCGCCCACGAGGGGTCTTGAAGAGAAACTCACAGCCACGAGCGGCCCAGCATTGCTCCGCACCTGGGAACAGTGAACGTCAGCAGCCGCCTCCCCCACGCCAAGCTCACGCGAAGCCCTTTCCCCCAGCGACTCAGCTCCTGCCGGACCCGTCCTCACCATCCCCTCGAACAGAGGAGGAAACGCTCAGAGGGTGAGTAACTTCCCCAGGACGGCGCAGCTCGGAAACAGCAGCCAGGATGCACGTCCAGGCAGCACCCCCGGAGCCCATCCTTTGGGCCAGCCCGGCCGCTGCAGTTTCCGCTCAGCGTGTTTCACAGGTGCTCACGAGAAGCTCGTGGGGCTGAGGGATACCCGCCCCTGAGCCTTCCCCACGGCTCCCGAGCTGCGCTCCAGCCTGTCCGACAACGTCACCCCGCCCAAACCCGCAGGCAGTGCCACCCCCTCGAGAAGCTGTGCCTGACTGTCCCGCCTAGAAGAGGCGTCTCCTCCCGTCTCCTGGCACCTGCCCCGCTGGCCTACCTTCACCAGAGCCATCCCCTCCCAGACCCCACCTCACGCACCTGCTGCACGTGTCCGTGCTTGGAAGCTCTGCTAACGGGGTCGTTTCCAACTGACTCACCTTCCTAACTCCCTGGGTCCAGCCCACCTGAAACAACCGAATTGCCTTCTGACCCCAGCATCTGACAGTCAAGGAGAGCCTTCTCTGCACTCTGCATGGATTTGCACATGAGTATTTTACTTACAACACTTGTAGCTAGAAGTTTCTCTTTGTAATTCTATTAGCATGCGCTCTGATTAAGTATTCAGGGAAAGAGACACTCCGGGAAACAAATCCAGTTTGATAAGCTCGCCGAAACACCTAGCGCTTTAGCTGAAACGCGGCCGCCAGCCCAGCAGCTGTCCTTAACGGAATGGGGAGCTGCGTTAAGGTTCGCCGGGTGCACCTTCCACGTCAGCTCACGTTCAAATCTCTTAGTGAAGCCAAGGAGAAGAAAACACAAGATAGAGAAAGGCAAGAGCGGGTATTTTTATTTAATGGAAGCACATGTTATGAAATTTTTAAAGGCAAAAGCATCGTGAGCAGCAAAGAATTCTCACGCCCTCCTTGGGAGCGTGTTTATTTTCTAGCAGGATACGGTTCCAAGTCCCGGCCTTCGGGGAAATTGTCTCTGAGAGAAGAAGTTACCATGGAAAGTCGTGCAGCCTTCGGGGAAATTGTCTCTGAGAGAAGAAGTTACCATGGAAAGTCGTGCAGTGATCGCGCCCAACCCAAGCGTTCTCCCCGGAAACACGGCACAGGGTGCTCCCGGCCCAGGCCCCGCAGGCGCTGACCCAGGGAAGGGAGATCCAGGCGCCTTCCCGGGGGTGGGAGCAGCTGGTTCCGGGTTAACACCCTGGAGGGGCTATCGCCTGATCCCGTGCTGCTGAGCTTCACGGAAACCATGATGCAGGGACTCTGGTCTCAGCACACGGGTTTACGGGGCGGGGTGCTGAGGCACAGGGCGGCTGAGTCAGAGCACCCCGTAGCCAGCTCCACAGTCTGCCACATGCAGTCCACCCCCCAGCATGTGGCAGTGCTGCCCTGGCCCAGAGCCGCTGGCTCCTGGCCAGCAGGAGCCGCAGGAGTGACAATGGTGACTCCACACAGGACGAGACCCAGCCTCAGGGACAGGTCTCATGAGGACCCGGGCCAGAAACGAACATGCGGATGGGGTACAGAAATTACAACAGAGCAATCTCAGAATACCTGCCCTGCTGCTCCGTACCAGCCAGCAGAGCTGGTAAATGCAAATCAAAGATCGGAAGGGTGATATGCAAAAGAAAACTGGGCAGGGCACTGCCACTAGGGAACCAGGGTACTGGCACCAGCCCCGCAGTCCCCAGGTGAAAAACGCCCCACCATGTCATAGTTGCTCATTATGTCTATGTCTATGTACACTCCACCAAAAATCTGTATACATCGGAAAAAGAAAAACTTGTATAAACACTGTAGCACTGAATTTACTGAGACATCACGAGGTTAACACAAGTTACCTTTGGCCTCTGCAATTACAAGAGGTGTCTCAGAGTGGTGGCCCTTAGCTTCCAGGTGTTTATCAGCACGGCAAACTGCGGAAGTGTATATAGAGATACAGACGTAAATCACACATAGACATAAATTAACAGACATAGCTGGGGACACAGCTCAGCGGCACAACGCCTGCCTGGCAAGTATGAGGTTGTGAGTTTGATTCCCAGTACCAATAAATAAATTAATTAATTAACAGATATAGACATAGCATAGAGATATGGATACAATGATATATATGTGGATTATAGACATGGATGTAGATATGCACACAGACACATGGATATGTGCACAGACACGGTACCGGTAGAGATATGCAGATACAGACATGGACACAGGCGCAGAAGTGGATGTAGACACAGATACGCACGCAGAGGTATAGGTGTGGACAGGTACACAGACATGGCTCTGATACAGAGACACAGACACAGACACTGCCATGGCTACAGATACCCCAGCGCATGGCGGAGGAAGCAGAGAACCCCAGCACTCCCGCAGCGCGGCTCTGGGTCTCACC